CCCACCTCCCACCCCCCCTCCACGCGATCGTGTGCCCCACCCCGACTCGTCCCATGGTTCACCATGTGTATTATACATAGATATCTTATATCGCTCGTTCTCTTGTATTGATTACTTAGTTATAGCCTCGGCAATATCAAATTCGCCTAGTCGCCGATATTGGCGAAAGGCCGACTTTTTATAATAAAACGTTGTGCTCCCAGTATTATTATGGCATTAATAAATAATGTATTTATAGTCTTTGCCGATCCGTAATTATAATTTCTCTATCTATCTCTCACTCGCTCTGTCTTTACAACCAGACATTATTCGTCGATGTGCTTGAGTTTGCAATCGTTATCGCCGAAAATTGTCTATCTTCAATATAGACATTTTCATATCATAAATATGTCATTACGTAACTGCGTATACAATAAAATAAAGTTTATGAATTACTTCATTACAGTTGCAAATTTGAAAGTAAGAATTCTCCTTCTCTAATAATAATAACAACAACAACAACAACAACAACAACAACAACAACAATAATAATAATGTTCTAATGTGAGGGTAACATTTTAACATACGATTAAAAAATATTATTGACGTAAGAATGACAAATACAAGTTAAGAACAATGAGAATACAAAAGATAGTGTGTACAAACTAATGTATTGAGTAATGCACAGATCAATTAGAATTTGAAGCGCAAATTCATATTTCACGAGCGTTTCAACTTTTATATTATAACTGCTCAATCAATCATTATTGAATAGAAAGTAAAATAATTATTACTTGCTTTAAGCTGCTATTATTGATAAATAAATATTGATGAACAATATGTAATAATGATAATAATGATAATGATAACAACAAGGAGAAGAACAACAACAGCAGCAGCAGTAGCAGCAGTAGCAGTAGCAACAATACATAATAATAATACATAATAATGATAATGATATTGTAGATAAGTTCGATTGATTAATCAATGCTTCCCCAATGAGACTCTATAAAATTGCAAATGATTATTAATGATTGTTAAATATAGAATAATTGAATAAAGTGAACGTAAATGTGCTCAAATTTGAACGATGATTTGATTTTTAATAAAAGATAAATGCAGCACATACCCGAACCTTTTCAAAAGCTTCCAGCTTAAAAGATTACTTTTAATATATATTGTAATTATAAAATAATCGTATGAAGAACAAAAACAACGAGAGAGAGAGAGAGAGAGAGAGAGAGAGAGAGAGAGAGAGAGAGAGAGAGAGAGAGAGAACAGATATATATATATATATATATATCGAGTTAACTTAAGCGTTGTAAGGTAATCTAATGCCGATATTGTTAAAAAATGAAAAAAAAAAAAAAACAGAAGAAAAAAACATAATCATCTGGTTTCGTTTAACCGTATACTTTCATAAGTAAATAGGTGATAAATAATTTAATATCTCTCATGTTTTTATATTTTCTCTCCTGCATTGCAACATCAATATGTCTTTATCGCAGCAAAGAACAAAATGCGGACATTTTCTGAAATACCGAGCGAAGCAGCAAGCTGATTGTATTCTCATATCTTAAGTGCGTAAAGTCATAATTTGCATCGATTATGTAACCCTTGCTCTCGCTATGAATTATAAAATCGTCGATTTGTAATTAATATAAATAATTACGATTATATCAAGATTAATTAGATTAATTATATAGCGGCCGTCAAGCGATATGGCATAAATTTTCTTCTTTGTATACAAAAAAAAAAAAAAAAAAAAAAAAAAAAAAAAAAAAAAAAAAAAAAAAAAAAAAAAATTGCCCGAGAGGAGGAAATTGATAATGCTACGAGCATTCTTCACTCGCGTATTTTCAGAGTTTTATGTGCGGCTGCCCTCGTTACTTTACTTAGAGACATTACATGCGCGAATTAAATGTATTATTAAACATTATTTTCGCGTGCTTGGCCGCCTAGTTTAAAGCGAAAAGGTGTATATGAGAAGCTAATTAAGCTCCATTCGCACATGCACAAATGATATACGATTGCACAGTTGTCGTTTTTTTCTGTCTTTTCGCTCATCTTTTTATATTCTTCGTGTTGTCGTCGTCGTCGTCGTCGTCGTCGTCGTCGTCGTCGTTGTTGTTGCTGTTGCTGTTGCTGTTGTTTTTCGAAATAGGAGCCAAGTACTTGAAAAATGTGTTATTACAATATTATTGAAATGAAAGGAATAATGAATGCTGTCTCTTTATTCGATGATCCAAGCGAACCAAGACAGGATTATTGTAACCATCACCATTAAGCAATCAATGTCATAAAAGTGAACAAACCTCGTCAAGCTTTAACCGGGAAATCTCGATTTACTTATATTATTTCTAAGCTTAGATTCTCTTCAACTCGTCAGCTGCATCGCTCAAGATCCGCGTCGTGTGCGCTTTCGTTTAAATCTTATCTCTTAATGCACGCCGACTTTTCGTATCGATCTTTTTTCTCCTTCGATATGCTTTCTTATCGCTCGATTTGCGATATTACACGCGCCTCATCTTTGTTCGCATTTGCCTTCTCTCTGATATAAATTTCTGCCTTTTTCGTTGACTCGCGCTCGCTTTTGTAACGTCGTTTGGTTATTTATCGGGCTCCTCTTTTTACGTGACTTCTTATCGGGCTTATTATACTTTGTTTTCTTATCATCCAATGCACGCTTTTTCGTACGGCGTTGAATTATATCTTTGCTAAGCTATTCCACCTTGTCTCTTCTCTCTCTCTCTCTCTCTCTCTCTTTTTTTTTTTTTTTTTCATTATACATTTATTTTGCTTGAAAGCAGTTGATTACTATCTGCAGTCTGTTTCACTATCTTTTTTCCATTCCTAATTAATTTTCATTGACTCTTGTAGTCTTTAAATTTTTATTTATATATTCGGAGATTGTACAATGACATTATTTACTCTCTAACTTGTTCCACCTTTATCTCATTTTACTTGTAATTTTTTCCATTCTTTTTTTTTTTCTTTCTTTTTTCTTTTCTTTTCTTTTCTTTTTTTTCTTCTTTTTTTTTTTTGCATTTTAACCAAAATATATTTCTTATTATAGACGCAATCAGTCGCATTGTGTTTAAGTTATTTTCTAAAAATTTACGTTACCGAAGGCCTAACGCAGATATTTGCCTAATCAATATAATAAGTGATATAAAAGTAACAAAAACTATCTGTAATTAAAATTCAAAATTTAATGTCAAGTCTTGTACGTTAAGTCGTGGCATTTTGGACTTTACAAATTTTGTTTTTTTTATTTTTGTTTTTTTAGTATTTTTCTTTTATTTTATACTTGTGATCAATATCTTAATTACTCGGTATTCTGTTGTTATTATTTTTATTAATATATATATATATATATATATATATATATATATCATTGTCTATTGATATTAATTCACATTGAATCTTGTATATTTATATAGAATTAATCTCACTTTGGCTTTAACTTGATTTTTTTCGTTCACTTTCCTCTAAACAATATCTCATATATATATATATATATATATATTAAGATCAAGAGTTCATTTACAATTAATAGGCAAATATTGATAAAAATTATTATTTCAGATATACATGATACGTTATTTGAAACGAGTTAAAAACAAAATTTCGTATTATTAGCATTATTATTAAAGTTTATAATTAATTGAGCTTTCTTAATGCTTAAAACATCAATTGCTTTTCGCTGATAATTGCATAATTAAAAATCTTACTTGTTTTACTTTCCAATCACCTTCTAAACTTATAATCATCAATACGTAGTAAATAATATTTCGAAAATTATCATTTAATATATTAAATATACTCAGCCACGGATCGTTAATATAATTTTCTATTATGTACATTATTTATTAAAAAAAAAAAATCATAGATAATATCATCCACCAATATGCGTATAAAAGAAAATCTAAATATAAAATTTAAGCGAATTAAAGTCGCTAAATAAAACAAAAAACATAAGGTCTATTGCGCTGGAACGGAAGAACATTCCTTACGAGACTTAATTATTTTCATTATTCACCAATTTGTATATCATTTGTAATCATTTAATATATCGATATTCTTGTGAATTTATGATTATTTTTTAATTGTATTAATAATCGACTATTTGGATAATATAAATTAACAACTTTAGAAAAAAATTCCATAAAAATAAGCCATAAATTCCATAAATACGCGCACACATACTACTTTAAATTTTTTATTTAAAGTACCATATCTTTGCATCAGTTTAATGGAAAAGCATTTAATTAGACGAAAGAATCTCTCTCTCTAACATACTATGAATAATTTAATTGATCATAAAATTAAGCAAATTTATGATACTTGCTTGCCTATTATCCATTATTCCATGAATATTAATAGAAAATTGCATAAACAGATAATATTTTTATATACATTTATGTCAAATATAATTACACAGAATAAATAAGGAATACACGAATTACCTATGCACGCGCGGTCTTACGGAATTAGAATGTCGAATTTGTACTATTTTTGAAGATTGGAATTAAGTGTCGGTGACAATTTATTTAATGATTATTATGTTCATATAATGTATGAAGTAGTGAGAGTTACAATTAGAAATTCATTTATCAATTATACGTATAGACAATATGGAAAAGAGTTAAACAATGATTATTTAAATATTATACTTTATTCGGCCAATCAGATTTCAGTGAGACGGCCAGTTCGAGATCGTCATTTTCCCCGGGGGAATCAAATTCTCCTCCATATCCTATAATATATCGAGAGAATATTAAAAATATATCCTCCTCTCGGAGAATCATCCCCTCGTCGTCACTTATTCCTTCGTTAATTTAGTAAGTAAATATCGATCGATAAAATGAAAATAAACTCCACGTAAGGATAAAGTCCGATTGTGACGGAAGGAGAAGATGACGTACGTATTCCATACGCAACGACGAACGTAAGCACGCGAGCGCGCATGCACGCACGCACGCACGCACGCACGCACTCGCGCATGAATACACGCGCTTACGCATGAACGCACATACTCGGGCGTTGATGAAGGCGCGCGCGCATACGCACTCGCACGTACAAGCTAGCACAAGAGTTACCGCGGGAGGTTTTTTATTATTCTTATTCCTATATGGCTCCTTCTTTTTCTTATACAACATCATGCCGAGTCTTTTTTGTTCATTTCTCAAGCTCCGACCCCATGTTGTCAGCTTTCTATCTATCTATCTGTCTGTCTGTCTGTCCGTCTCTCTGTCTTTCTTCCTTCCTTTCTATCCTTCTTTCCTTCCATCCATTTTCTCTTCATGCTTTTCTTCCCTCTCTAACCACGCTCACGCACACCCCTCCATCTCACCACCACCGCCGCCCCGCCCCTACCCTCCATCTCACCGCCGCCCCCTCTCCGACGTCACATACACGCGCGCGTGGAATACATAAAGTATTCCATATACATTCTTCGCTCATCTTTTTCCTTTTCACAAGTGCTAGGATAAGAGATAAAAGAAGCGTCGCACTGTTCTTCTTCGTCTCCCTTACATGAGATTCGTCTCAATTTTTCTTTAAATTTTTTCAATTCGTTCGTCCTGCTCTTCTCCTGTTCATCTCCCTCATTCCCTCCCTCGTTCTTTTTCAACTGTATCACATAAAACGCTTTCTTTCTACTCCCCCTTGACATCCCTTCATTTTCTATTTTCCTTTCCCTAGCTTTCATTCCCCCACCCTTCCTCAGCCGCCCAGTCTCGTCATTTCTTTCTCCTCGCATTCTTCTTTATACATTTTATATCTTCCACATAAGAGCGGCAACAGCGTAGTGTACTAGTAATAGTTATAGATAGGGCGTGCAAAGATGCTATTTTCTCTTGGAGAAGGGGTGAGAGAGAAATAAAGAACAGCTTCTTTGTCCTACTCTGATCTACGGACGCCTTCTCTATTCGTGTGTGCGTACGCGCGCGCGCGCTCTTATACACCCATTTTCCAACTTCTCCGCTTTCAGACCATACTCTTTCTTCTTTATCTCCGTCTCCTTTCCTCCCCCGTAATTTTCTTATCGCATCTTTATTTCTTCTTTTTTTTTCTCTTTTTTCTTTTTATGTCGTTTCTCTTTTTATGTCGTTTCTCTTTTTATGTCATTCTTGCCTCTCCTTCGATCTGTCGTCTGTGTTTCTTTCCCTCCTCCTCGCCCCGACCCACGCAACCCAACCCAACCCGCTCTCGCTATTTATCTATCTGTTTAACTTACCTCGCCTATTACTAATGCTCCATTCATCTCGTGTTGTATTATTATCTTTTCGTCTATTCTCCTTTTTCTTCCGCCTAGTATATTCTTCATAAACTCACACATAGATACAACACACAAGCCTCGGCTTTTACCTTTTTTCCTGGCATTATCGACGTTCCTCGCACCGCTTTTGCTTCTCTCAAATATTTCTTTTCAAAGCTCGTCCTGCAGCAAAAACCCCCGGGCTTTTTTCTATCTTTTTTCCCTTTCTCGTCCCATCTTTCCCGCTTTCTTCATCCATCCATCCATCCATCCATCCATCCATCCATCCATCCATCCAACCATCCAACCATCTCTCTCCCTCGTGCTTTCTCTATCTTTAGCTTTTTATTTTACGTTGTCTTGGCTCTTTTTCTTTCTTCCGCTACTTTTTCCTACAATCTAGGGTCGCCGTGGAAACTGCAACTTCCACCATTTAACCTTTTTACGCAACGGGAAAAAGTATAGGCGAAGTAAGGGAGAGAGAGAGAGAGAGAGAGAGAGAGAGAGAGAGAGATGGATACGCGCGCACGTGTATAACAGAGACGGTGCTCGTGTTGGTGAGAAAGGTATAAAGCAGAAAAGTGTGCATTGCTCCAACTTACTTCTATCGATGTTGAAAATGAAGATTTTTCTTCTGCTTTTCTTTCTCATCTCTTTATGTCCTGGAGCTATTAGAACTTTGAGCCAAGTCCTTTGCAACTAGAGATTTTCCATTAAAGCCTTAGAACAAATATCTCGCAGTTGATATTTAAGCGCCTAAGAAGAGTTTGCCATGACGAGAACAATTATCGCGCTTTCGTAATAACGTCATAGTTCTCAGAGTGAGAGAGGCGAACGTTAACAATGTTTTCTAAAATTTATATTATTTCGGCATTGTTATCGATGTCGTTGTAAGACTCGTCTATGCGCCATTATCTCGAGGCTGAAATATAATATCGACGGCCTGGGCGATTGTATATTAAACATAATGTTAATGTTTCCCTCCAAATATTCATGTCTCTGGCAGTCTCTATCGACAAATATTTGGGTTAGGAAAGCCGAGAGAAAAAAGTAAAAGTATACTGAGCGCCTAAAGAGAGAATCGATATTTTAAAAGCATCTTATAGTTTCGACGATGGATGTGAGAGGGAATCCCGGCTGCTGTTGTTAGCTTTCCACAGCACTTAGTATCAAGTCAAATCGACCAATTTACTTTAGCGGCATTACGAGTGTTTGGCGCAGATTTAAGAATTATTGAACTAATGTTTAAAGGCCAATTTAAATAGCAGCTTATCGTCCGACCAATTCACCCTTAAATTTGGGCATATAATTGGTCATGCAATCGAGTACAAAATAGGCCATAAGGCCTTATCCCGTAGCTAATCGATGACTTATACTCGAGGTGGGTAGCGAGCACGGATGCGAATGAAGCAACGGTAAAAGTAGATATATATATATATATATATATATATATATATATATATAGAGAGAGAGAGAG